TATACTAGAACATATTGTGGGTACAACGGTTGGTAATCCTTCTGCTACAACTCTACCACCTCATCAGACTGATTCTTCAGATGAGGAATGACAGGTTTACACTTCCAGGAGGAAGAAGAAGAATGAAAATCTACTTGAGCTCAGGAATATTATGGATGATACTTTGGTTACTTCGGGTAATGATACGTACCTTATCAATTTGTTAGATGGATCCCTTCCGATAACAAGAGGCAGAGGCAAGACTAAATTGGGATGACCATTACTTTTTCCGCGCCCTAGTGGTTTTGGGCTTTTTTGTTTTTTATATGTATCTTTTTTGACTTTTTTGTGTGTGTTGTACTGTGTGGGTTTGTGTCTATTTGGGCTCACTCACGCAACCTATCTATATCTTTTCTCTTTAATATATTTCCCCTTGGGCTATATATATAGTTATTTATTTTTGGATAGACTGCTTTTGGCTTGGTGTGGCTTGAATCAAGTTTTGATCGAATAGTTTAAGTTGATCTTGAACTAGTTCTTGTTTGCTTGAAATAGTATTGTTTACTTAGCCTGTCTTCCTTGTGGTGAATCAAACATTGAAGTGGAATGGTACGTGTCTGGTCACACAACTATCAAATTTATAGGTATTGTTATGATAGTTGTACCTATAAATTTGATAGTTGTGAGCTTGACTTAGTTTGAATGGTCTGGGAATGCCTCACTATCTTTGATTTAAACGATTAACAAAGCATACCTGATCATAGTTAACTTGGTCAACACTGAGCAACTCAAATTCTACATGACAGGGTTGCTTAAATTCAATCCACCACATCTGACTGTTGCCGACTCTTGGCCAACTTTAGTCAATTCTAGTCTATTTCTATTGAACTACACAACTTAGGTCAACCTTCTCCAAATTTGTTGACTTTTAGTTACTTAAAGCAAACTTAGTTACGAGATGGTGAAACTGACTTGGTCATTATGCGGCCCTGCTCCAACCACCTCGATTTGCATTGGTCCCACATTATTCCTTAAGCACATATCATCATGCCATTATGTGATTTATACTGCACCTTAATGGTGCACCAAATGTGTGTGTATAACAACAACATCAACATCAACAATATCAACAACAATTCTTTATTCCGCTAAGTGGGGTCCGCTATATGAATCCTTTCTCCATTGTGTAAAATGAAGAAAAAGTACAACATAGATCAAAATCTGGCTTGATATGCTCATCTTGCCTAATTACAATCAAAGTGCCAAAATCGATGCAACGCAAATATTGTGTTTTTGGGTAAAGGTTTTTGGGTCCGAGCTCCTTTTCACTTTTGTTGGCCTTGGAAAATTTTAGCTTTGACAAATTGCTTACATGATATTCATATAAAACCTTTGGGAAGAATTTTTTTCCTTAGAAATATGTACAACTCATCACATGTTTGTTTGTCGCCATTCCAAATGGGCACCCTTGACATTTACCTTCAATACTGCCAGAATTTCATTATACAATATAACTTCTGGAAGCTTAAAAAATATGTAGATGCATTCGATGTAAAATTTTGAGGTGAATTTGTGAAGAATCCAAACAATTATTTGATAATTCATGATTTAAATTTAGATCAAGTACAATATAATTTGAATAATACCTAATTTCTTTTAGATTTCTAACCCATAAGCATCCGTTCCAAATCAATGTATAATTATTTGTTTTGTTTTTCTAGCAATTATTTTTTAAGAGATTTTGAGTGGGAAAGTTTCTAGATTTTGGCAAATTATTACATTGCTAAATTTTTTTTAATATCACTTCTCTTTTATACTTATTTTATGTTCACAATTGCAATTGAGTTATAACAACCTTATCAACTTGCTTTCAGTGAATATTCTAATGCAAAGAGTGTATGTAATTAATTAATTAATTAATACATCGATTCAATATGGTTTAGTGATAAATGACGTTTTTTTGTTGAAGACAAATTCCATTCAAACATAACTGCTTGAGTATATTGGAACAGTCCTTAACAATGGTCTTTTTATGAATATATAAATAAAAAAATCAAGAAAATGTTGATTTGATTATTTGTCGATTTTTATCAGGCAATTTGTTAGCAATTTCATTATTATATTGTTTAATAATTGTACCAACAACTCCATATATGATTTTTTAGATTTAAAATCAAATTTAATATAGATTTGGGTCTAATGATCTTGGATTTAATTTTAGATTCTTATTTTTGCTCTTGCTTAAATTTATGTTAAACTTTGGTGCATTTTATAACTAGAGACTAAAAAATCATGTAGAATCGTTTTGTTGAATTAAATTCTTCATTTTAAAGTATTCAATTGGATACCTGATACTGATGATGTTATGTGTTCAACCGGTCTATACTGAGATGTAAAGGTAAATTTTCTATAAATATTAACCAAAGCTGCACTAATCTTACCAGGAAGATTACTGTGATATTTCTCAATTTTTGGAGCTCCATAGTGAGCGTTATTTATTATCGATTAATTCATGCTTGATCTTTCATCCAAGACATTCACTGATTTAAACATTAGTAATATAAGTGTCTTTAGGTTGATAACATTTGGCTATAAAATTTTTAAATTTTAGAAAATGTTTAAATATGTTATAATCATATTATGGCCGACCCCACGTAGTGGGATTAAGGCTTTGTTGTTGTTGTTGTTGTTGTTGTTATAATCATATTATTTAAATTTCTTAAATAGAGCATGCAGTTGGCCTGCATAATTCTCTAACGAGATTTTATGTTTCTTGTATGACCTTGAGTTTTATTTGAAATACTTCACCAAAATGTTTTAGAATATACCATTGCTTTTTGTTTTTAAAATTCAAATCCTTGATATTAAATATTTTATTATTATTTTTTCAAACACTTTCCGAAGGTCTTCTATCCTGTCTTCTATCCTTGAAGATACATGATTTTATCTTCCATCAAATGTAGACAGGATACATTTAAGTTTTAGCTTTACAAAATTTTGGTAGTTGTCTAGAATAATAGCTAAATTCAAATCATTCAAATTTCATCTCTTAATTTTTATTATAATTTTCATATTTTGCTTTGAAGATGGTGTGTACATAAGTACTCTTTGATATTAAATTTGATGTAAGGTGTTTTAAGGTTTAGAGTTTCTTATGCTATCATGCAATGAAATTTGATATAGCCTAGCAATGCTATTAACATACAATTCTCTCAGGGCTCATACAGTTAATTTTAAACAAATATTTGCTAATTTAGTAGATAATAAACTAAAGTAAAGATAAACCCAATGTGGATAAAAATTGATGTTCTTTCTTCTAAAAATTTACAAAGAGAAATTTTTGATCATAGAAGGCATGCATATGTTTGAAATGTCACTTTTAGCTAAATACTGAAAAAACATGGAGGGGGAAAAAGAGGATGGAAGAAAGATAAATGAAGTCCCCATAAAAGCAAGCCTCGCCTTTGTACTTTGTGATAGTTTCTCCAAAGGGTGTAGACGATCCGAGTCAAGTTTGAGTCGCAATGAACATGAGCTCAACTCGTCTATCGAAACAACAAGTTGAACTTGAGCTCGAGCTCGAGCTCGTGTTTAGCACATATTATGAGCTCGAGCTCGTGTTTAGCCCATATTATGAGCTCGAGCTCAGCTTTTGTTACCATGCACAAAAGCTACTTAAATCTTAGTTGGAGGAATTCACAGCTAGAGCTTGCTCGAGAAGGCAACGACGAAATCGGGCTATGGTCTCTAGAGAAGTGTTGTGAGAGCTCATTCGAGAAGATGACGCGGCCATCTTTTTGTGATTTGCTAGCCTGGGTTACTGCATGAGAAGAAATGGTACAGGGGAATCTTTTAATTTATTACTATGCATTGAGTGAAGCCCTCACTTTTTTAATGGCTTAACTCCTTCCAAAACAGCAACAACAACTTTTTATTTTTAATTATTAAGTTCACGCTTCCAGTTAGCTCGGGAGCCTATGAGCCAAGTCTTATTAAAGCTTGAAATGGATCTCATTTAAAATATGAGCTCGAGCTCACAGCTCGATAAGATCGACTCTTGAGCTCTTCAGCGAGTTGAGTTTGAGCGGGCTCAGCTCATTTACACTTCTAGCTCTCACACTTTAACGAGGAATTAGTTCCCGGAAGAAAAATGATGATTTATGCATCCGTAGGAAATTAGTAGACCTACAGAGCTGTTTTTATACCTTTTAATTCATTTATTTATAAGATAATGGGAATCTATGATTGCGTATAAAATTCTTAGAAAGAGTAGGAATTGCCGAGTAATATAAAATTTACTTTCTACATTCCCATCTGTATAAATTCACTTCAAATCCCATTAGACTGTAGAAATAGGACATAAGGTCGAAATCTTTGAAGACCCGACTGCCAACCTGTAAAATTGCACATTAACAGAACTTTGTTACAGCCGAAGTTCCAGAAATCTCAATATAACAACAATGAAATCCCTGCATCCAACCATCCATCTTGTCAATGGAACATTCCTTGATTTTCATGATAGGCGTGCTTAAAATTCTATTCACAGCTGATAGAATCATTTACTGTTATAATCACAATCAAAACGCAAACACTGGTGCAGCACAAATATTTCATGTGTGGGACATTTACATACATACCACAATTTCTAATGTATTTACTGTCTAACTCCCAAAGTTTGATATTTATAATTGCACCGCCTTGGTGACATAAACCTATGCATGAAAAAGCTTTATTCCACTTCTAAAAAGATAGTGATGGTAGAATTTCTCATGTGATGTTAAAGATTTGAGTGGTATTTATCTAATATGAATGTTTTTGTGTTAGATATGCAAATACAGCGTGGTTTGTCTGTAAATTCCTTTTCATGTTTTATTGAAAATTATTAGTCTATAACACCCGTCACTGTCAATCGGAGCTGTTCTTCCCCAGTAATTGCGAGCAGGCCTTTGTCATGCTTCGATGCAGTAACATTTGAGGGATTGTGATACTAATCATTATCAATTCTGCAATGATTTGTGCAGCCAAAATGCTATTCATCTCGAGGAGAAAGAAAGGAAAGAGAAGGAACTCCGTAATCAGATAATCGCCGAAGCTGAAGAATTCAAGATTGAGTTCTACGAGAAGAGGAAACTGAACAAAGAGACTAATAAAACCACCAACAGAGAAAAGGAGAAGGTATGAACTTTTTGCCACTTCCCAAATTTTTTCAAGGGCCATTTACCACATGCCACACAATGATTATGTATTTACATATCTTGCTCCCAAAAATCCATTTTTAATCTTTAACTTCACATAAAAAATACCACAATCACTTCTCTTTTTAAAAGTAAAATCCACCTTTTCATACATAGGTTTACGACAACAAAGTGTGTTAGATATACGTGAATGCATAAGAATTGTGCCGTATGTATGTAAATTTCCCTTTTTTTAATTAAAATCATCACCAAATCCCATCCCAAGTTCATCAAACCGACTCCTTTATCCTTCGTGTCAGATCTTTGTGGCCAGTCAGGAGAAATTTCATGCCAGTGCAGATAAGCAGTACTGGAAAGCCATTGCTGAGCTCATCCCAAATGAAGTCCCTAATATTGAGAAGAAAAGAGGGAAGAAGGATGCAGAAAAGAAACCGTCTATTATTGTACTTCAAGGCCCCAAGCCTGGAAAGCCCACTGACCTCTCAAGAATGCGTCAGCTTCTTATTAAGCTAAAGCATAATCCCCCACCCCACATGAAACCCCCACCAACCCCACCTGCTGCCCCCACACCACCTGCCAAAGAGGGCCCTGCGGCTAACACGAGCGGCAGCCCTCCGGAAGGCACGAATGTGGCGGTAACAGCACCGGCAACAAATGGTTCGTCCAAAGCGAAGAATGATGTGCCTATAGAAACTCCAGGAGCGGCGGCAAGAGAAGCGTCTGTAGTGCTAGTGGATTAAGGTATCACGTAGCGCACTTTAGTCTAACGCATGTTATCATTACTAAAAAAAATTTATTAAAAGGTCCATAATTATCATGTTATTTTCGGATTTGCTTGGCTATCTTCTGCTTATTTATTGTGAGATTTGTTTTTGAGGATAGCCATATAGTGTATTTTGGATGTCTAATATGTGTGATAGGGATTGTTTTTATATGGGTTGATTATCTTCTGATTAGTTAGTTCATGATGTGTGTGGATGTTTGATTATCTTTCAATGACTCCTATCAAATTTATTCTATCTTTATGAGGTGCATCCACCATGCCAAGTTTCTTGATGATTGATGAAATATTTAACAATCTTCTTAGATTATTAATAAAAACAAGTGCTAATCACTCCATTTTAATTATTAATTGGGTTGGATTAAACTATAAGCAATGTTATTTTAAGCATAAAATTTTATAAGTACCTCTTTTTCAGGCTAAACCATTGAGGGTAAATTCAAGAGTTTGCATGGATTAATATATATATTGCAATAATTTGTTTGTTAAATGGTAAAGAGTTAGGGGTGGAAATTTACTGTGAAGATTTTGAAATTAAATTTTGTTTTGTTTAAATTTGTTCTTTGGCACTCAATCAAAAAAACAAAAAGATCTTGGCCCTGAAACAAATAAAATGAGCACTTCGGAGCTCTGATTTTTTCAAAAAAAACTTCCATTTTCTCATTCAAATCTTATCGTTTGGCCCAAGCTTTCATTTTTCTATGTAGGGCTGTCAAGGGTTCGTTGTTTGTGAATAACTCGTGTTCAGCTTGTTAAGTTAATGAACTTAGCACAAACAAAAATTTATTTGTTCGTGTTTAGCTAGTTTTGGCTCGAAATACTAATCTTATATATATATATATATATATGTATTGCATTGGTATTTTTAAAAAAATTAATTGACTATAAGGCTAGAAAGAATTACTTAATTAAGAAAATAGAATAAAAATGATCAAATTAGATTCAAATGATGTTTTTGTATAAAAAATAATTTTTAAATCTTGCCTCAACCCTTAAATCTTATGGCTGTTCGTGAATAGCTCCTGTTCGACCAGTTAAGCAAATGAGCCTAACACGAACACACTTTTTGAGCTTGAATTATAAACGAGCTGAACACGAGTGAGCCCACGTCCCTATTTCTATCAATGTAATTTACTCTAAATGAATAATAATGTTGTTTAGTTTTTCTTTTATACCATATATAATATAAAAAAAAATGTAATACTTATTAAAATAAAATTTTATCAAAATATCCAATATAATTCCTTATGTAGTATCAATTTGTATGTAATATGATGACCCAGATTTCATTTTTATATTACATTTTGGATGTTACATTTTTATGGAGTTTATCACGTAGTACTTGTTTATGTAGAAGATGAAAGGTTGAGTTTAGAAAACTTCAATGTTAAAATGTTGCGCATATCATGCAAATGCCATTTAGTTTTGATTATATTTGTTATTTAATAAAAAAATATACTCATTATATATATATATATATA